CGTACCGAACCGCAAACGGCCACAGAAAATGGGGGGCAGCCACATGCATCATGGACGTACGGGCGACGTCCATGACCATGCCAATGCGGCGCTCAGCAATCCCATTTTTCTGTGGAGAGTCCGGAAGCGTGAAGGTCTGGCGGATGCCTCGTGCACGACAGTAGGCTCGCAGAAGGCCAGAGGAGAACTCTCCGCCTCTGTCAGAGTGCAGACGCAGAACAGGAAAGTCCGAGCCAAAGCTCCGCCTGAGCTGGAGACGAGCTGCGCGGATCCAGTCGATCAACACCTCAGTGACATCACCCTTGCTGCGCAAGGGGAAGACTGTGGTGTAACGCGAGTAGTCGTCAACCACCAGCAGGAAGTAGCGCTCGTGACCCTGTCCACGGACGCGGGCCGGGCCCCACACGTCCATGTGAAGCGTCTGCAGCGGGGCCTCTGTCGGAGGAAACTGGGAGGAGTGAGGGGTAGCCCGCTGCCGTCCCTCGACACAGGGGACGCAGGTAGGGCCTGGCCCCGGAGGAAGGGGAGGGAGGGACCGGGGAAGACCAGAGACAAGGACACGGGAGGCCATGCTCCGGAGACGAAGCAGGGAGGGGTGGCCAAGGCGGTGGTGCCAGAGGAGAGTCTCGTGAGACAGGAGGCGACACGAGCAGGGGGCAGACTCAGGACCAGACCTGGACGCTGCAGCAAACACCTGACCCGACGCAGCTACCTGACCAGACGCAGGGACTGGAGGAGACGCAGTGGTCAGTGTGTACAGGCTCGACCCTGGCCGACGTGTAAACGTGGCCAGGTGGCGGCCTGTCCGAGCGTCCGTGCAGTGGGTCACCCGCTGACTCGCAGGAGTGAACTGGTGAACCCCCGCATCCTGTAGGTCAGCACCACTCACCAAGTTCGTAGAGAACGAGGGGAGGTAGAGACCAGACAGGGTGCCAGAGGGGGCCGCCGGACACGGGAGGACAGTGGAGAAGTGAGCAAGGACAGGACCCCCAGAGGGGTCTGCCAGGGAGACCGCAACTGGCCGGCCAAGCGGCGTGAGTGTGGTGCGGTCTCGAAAGAAGGAGCGAGAAGCCCCCGAGTCAAGTGTGAAGGTGTGGGAGGCCGAAGCCGACGCAGAACCTGAGAGAGCAGACTCACCAGCACCTGAGGGAGCAGACGCACCTAGAGCAGCAGCCTCGCTAGCACCTAGAGCAGCAGCCTCACCAGTACCTAGAGCAGCAGTCTCAATGCCCGGGTCGGGCGGAAAACACCGGTAACAGTCACCCTCATCACTAATAGTCACAGTATACACGGCAGCAAGAATAGCATCAAAGTCAAGGTCAAAGACAGCTACACCCGCCCTAGACAGCTCACCCCAGCGGGGGATCTCAGTGGCCTCAGGGAACTGGTGACGCCAAGCGTCCGTGAGGCGGCCAAAGCAGCGCTGGGTGGAGTGCGCACCCCCGCACTGCTCACCCGCGCGGTCGCCGGTGCGCAGGACGTAGGTGCACGGACCAGCACCCCCACCCCTCTGGCGTGCAGTGTACCACTCACGGAGCTGCTGAGGGGAGGGGACGTCACGAGTGCGCTGCTGCTGCTGCTGCTGCTGCTGCTGGTGCTGACCACCACCGGAGCTGACCCTCTGCGCAGCGCCACCCCGACCAGCTCCACCTCCTCCGCCGCCTCCTCCTCCACCGCCGCCACCTCCGCTCCCTCCGCCACCGCCGCTGCCTCCTGCGCCTCCACTGCCGCCACCTACACCTCCACCCCCGCCACCACTCCCACCGCCACCCCCACCTCCTCCACTACCTCCACCGCCGCCTCCACCGCCCCCGCTAGCTCCTCCAGCGCCCCTGCCCCCCTTGCCCCTGCCAGGGCGGCGTCTCCCGCTAGGGGTAGACGCTGCCCCAACCGACTCCAAACCAGCGAGGTCGGCCGCAGCAGCAGAGGCAACAGAGGGCAAAAGAGGGGAGGGGGAACACCCCTCAAAGATGGGGGTGCGAGGGTCACCACGAGAGGCTCCTACAGCGACGATGCTCTTTTCTGCTGCTAGGAGGGCCTTCTCGAGGAGGTCAACGGTGAGAGTGGTGGGACAAACCGAGAGGAAGTGGTCCCTGACTACGCGAAGGGAGTCAGGGAGACGGGTGACTATGTAGTAGAGGGTGATGTACATGGGGGGGGGGTTCTTGGCGCAGAACTCAGCAGGAAGCGCAGCGCGGTAGCGAGTGTCACTAGAGCGGAGGTGCGTAATGAGGTCAGCGACTGTGGGAAAGGCAGCAAGGTCAGGGAAGAGGTACGGTAGCATGAGGCGGCTCAGTGCAGCAGTGGCAGGGGAAGAGTAGCGTGCAACTACAGCGTCGTACAAGGTCTGAGCACTCTTGTACTGGCTAAAGTGCGCACGCTCAGAGGTAGGGAGGTGGCGACGCACAGCAAGACGTGCAGCAGCATCGCGCGTGGCCCACTGTGAGCGAACGGTGGCGTCAGCATCAGCAGCGGGGCAGGAGAGGCACCAGAAGTGAGGTCAAAGAGGGAGAGGCCGTCTGCTCTGTCGCACTGTAAGAAAAGCTGCAGGTCATCTATCCAGACGTCAAAGTCAATGGCCCGACCCTCAGCGTCAAAAGCGAGGACACTAGGGGTAGCCATGACAGCAGTAGACTAGCAGTGCAAACAGTAGGGCGAGGGCAGTGCTGTGAGAGAGGCGCTGCTCTTACCGGACAGGGCGGTTCGGGCGGCTCGGCTGCAAGGCGGCTCGGCGGCTCGGCGGCTCGGCGGCTGGGCGGCTCGGCGGCGGGGCGGCTCGGCTGCTGGGCGGCTCGGCTGCGGACAGGGCGGCTCGGCGGCTGGGCGGCTCGGCGGCTCGGCTGCTGGGCGGCTCGGCTACTGGGCGGCTTGGCTGCTGGGCGGCTTGGCGGGGCCGCTGAGAGGGCGGCGTCCGGGGCCGCTGGGAGGAGGCGGCGGGGCCGCAAAGGTAAGTGGCGGGGCCGCGGAGGTAGGTGGCGGGGCCGCGAAGGTAGGTGGCGGGGCCGCGAAGGTAGGTGGCGGGGCCGCACAGGTAGGTGGCGGGGCCGCGGAGGTAGGTGGCGGGGCCGCACAGTGAGGTGGCGGGGCCGCGAAGGTAGGTGGCGGGGCCGCACAGGTAGGTGGCGGGGCCGCGGAGGTAGGTGGCGGGGCCGCACAGTGAGGTGGCGGGGCCGCGAAGGTAGGTGGCGGGGCCGCACAGGTAGGTGGCGGGGCCGCGGAGGTAGGTGGCGGGGCCGCACAGTGAGGTGGCGGGGCCGCGAAGGTAGGTGGCGGGGCCACACAGGTAGGTGGCGGGGCCGCACAGGTAGGTGGCGGGGCCGCGGAGGTAGGTGGCGGGGCCGCGGAGGTAGGTGGCGATGGGCGCGACGGGCGCGACGGGCGCGACGGGCGCGACGGGCGCGACGGGCCGAAAGGGCGGCGCGACTCGGGCCGGCGCAAAACGCGCTCCGGGCAGGAAAAAAAATTCGTGGTGGTGGGCCCTAGGAATCGTTCCCATTAGGGAACCTGCTCGATACCATGAGAAGAAACGAGGGATGAATGACTAAGGAAAAGTTGGGTACAAAATGTGAACCCTAGAAAACTGTACCCCATATGTGCTACCCCACTATAGCCTACAGTAGCTATGTCATATAAATCTGACACGGCGCTCGCTAGCACGGTCGCCGCCGCGACGACAGTTAATTCCTTTGACTCCGCGACTGGCGTAAATGCTCCCGCCGCTGCATCTGTCGTCACTTCTCCGGCCGCTGTAATTTCGGCGTCTGCTGTTCCCGCGCCTGCCTCGGACTCTCCAGCGGCGCCAACGTATGCTTTGGAAGAAGACGCTGCTACCGCGCTCTTTGACGCTTCTGTCGTAACTGCCCCAGCCATCGTAACCGGAAACGCCGCTGCATCTGGAGGCGCAACTGGAAACGCCGCTGCATCTGGAGGCAGGGTTGTGGAGAGCCCGTTGGGGTTTACCGTGCCTCTCAGCTCACGAAACTGTAAGCCTCCCATTTTGTGTTCTCCCATTATTTTGGCATCGGACCGCTACTACTATTGTATTTCGTAGTTTTGTAAGCATTCTGATTTCTCTCGCCTACCATTTTGCAGTTGTTCCCGCCGAGGAAGCAACCGCCGTTCAGATCTTTCGACTGCAAGGTCAACTTGCGGACGTGCGGAACACTCTCAGGCGGAGCCAAGACCGCAAGAGAGAGCTGTCCCAGCACCTCTCGGCGAGGGACGTCCAGCTCGCTTCGATCAACGAACGTTACGCCGAGTTGGTCCGGCTCAACGAGCAGCTTATTCAGGACCTGGCTGCTGCCCAGAACCCGGGAGGGACACGCCCCCTTGCTCTCACCACTGCTACAACGTACAATCTGGAGCGGATTCCACGCGACGCAAACGACACTCTCCTTATCCCTGCTATTCTGAGTCAGGATGCGCATTTCGCGGTGAGTCGTCGTTTGTTGCTGCTATGTTCTGGTATCATAAACTCGGTGTCGTTTGTCGCTGCTAAGTTTGTTAGTTTGATTAATGTGATGATTTAAAGTTTTTGTAATGACGCCTGTTTCGCCCCCCTTATGATCCCGCATTTCTAATCCAATCCAGAAGAAGGCGCTCGAGGCAATCAGCTACCTGATGTGCGATGCGCCGGCGCTGTCCATGCGCTTCTACCCGGAGTGGTCGGAGTTTCGCGAGGTCATGTGTCAGAAGTACGAGGCGGCGGGCGTTCTGCCTGACATGTTTTATTACGTCATCAGCACCGACCCGAACAAGGAGACCCTGGCGATGCGCAAAGTTTCCGAGAGGCGCTCAAACATTAACGCCGACGGCAAGCTGTTCGGACGAGGCCCTGGTGGATGCGCTCCCGAGAGCAAGTGGAAAGAACTCGCTGAGGAAAACGTCGCGCCATCTGTATCGCGTACCCCGGTGGAGTGGTGCCGTTTTTTTTAGCATCGTGAGTATTGAGACTCTGGTTTTCGTACACATGCCCTTCATACATTCTGAAACGTACTCACATGCCCTTCTGTATCCTTGCAGCTGTCTACGGCCTGGGGGCGAACTGGCATGTGGACCCTACCACCAACCGTCCCTATTCCAACCGTCCTTTCCAGCTTGCCGGCTTAAGAGGGTTCGGCAGCAAGCGTGCTACATCGCTGACTCTCAAGATTCCCGCTGTGGGCTACCTGTGCAACGTGGTAAGATTTTATTGAACCCTGCTAAACCCCAACGTGGCTAAACCCATGTTATATTGTCTCTTACTAACATTTCCCCCCTTTAACATGCAGGTGGAATGGCCCTTGGTGAATGCAAGGGGCCGCTTGAACCCTGCTCTGGACACTGCCGAGGCTGTAAACCGGCAGAACGTGGCTGCGAAGATTGATCAGGTGGTGGCCTGGATCAAGGCCACCTACGAGAGTGGAGATGTGGCCATTTGGGACTCTAGGCCTCCTGCCGGCTTCAACATGTCCCCTGTCATCAAGATCCTGGTGGAGGGCTATGAGGCTGCTATCTTCCCTGCTGGAACTCCACCGTAGGCTGTAGTAGGCATTTTCTTTGGTAGCGCCTCATGTGGACGTCCGTGTATTCTCTAACTGCTTTTCAATGACCAGTGAAATTGTAGTGTCTAATAATCGAAGTAGCTGGAAATATATGAATTTTTTATTAACGCGTCGTATTAATGAAGAAATTATGACGGTACAATAAGAAAGGTACTTGTAAGAAAATGATAATACACGTTCTATCGTTTACTTTATCAAAATTTATGACCATGTGATAATAGAATTTCGAAGTTATCACATGTCACAGTAACGAAATCGGTAACCCTAAATTCGACAGTTCGATATAAATCATTCGCAATAGATTCGCGAGAGTCTGTAACATAGTTTCGTATTTCAATATTGCGTGGCGCCGAATCAAACCATTGCTTTGTCAGTGGTCATGCCAGCTCATCTACGTGCAGCACGATACATGGCTATGCACAGCGCACCTGATACATCGACCTAGAACAGCCGCACACAGCGACCCCTGTAAATGACTAGGCAACTGGGACGAGCTGTGACTGGGCATTACAAGCCCGAACTGTTTCACCTGGGATGACCCATTCGAGAACCATCGACGATGTGGTCGATCGGGGATGCCAATCGGGCTAACCCATCACACATATACAGTCTCGCCGAAAAGTAGCCAGAACTTCACGCCAACAACCCAACCAACCCCAAAACACCCCAAATCAGTCGTGGGAACTTTCTGATGCCGTAGCTAATAGTTCTTGCGGTCAAACCTTGGGAGTTTACATGGAACGTCTCGCGCACATCAATCGACTTTCGGATGACCTTCTTACGAGGATTATATGGTTCCAGGATCGGAAGACTTTCCAAACTGAAATTTATTCTTCATGGGGCTCGCTTCCTGAGTGGCTTTTTAAGGCGAATAGATTCACTCCTTCATCCTTCGCAGATGCAGCTTTTAATCTGCTCATCGCGTCCGTATGCAGTCGCTGGCGTGATCTCGTCAAGCGTCAGGTCACCAGCATGTCGCTCCAAGATGACTTATGTGTATCTCGTCACGACCTGGTGAACGCAGTCGCTTGTTTTGACAACCTCACCAATCTTCACCTGAGCGACGGCAGTGTTGAGATGATTGACAACGCTTTCCTCGCTCGCCTGGCTTCATCGCGGCCTAAGCTGAAAGCTTTTCACGTGGGTCGCGGAATCACACCAACGGAGTGTGGAGGGAACAAGAATGAGCACCCGGTTACTGCAGCAGGTCTGGAAGATTTCTTCTTGAAGTGCACCCAGCTGGAGGAAATAACACTTCACTGCCTCCACAAAGATACTGACTTATCGGATTCCTTCTTTCAGCTGCAGCAGCTCCACACAGTTTCCTTAACCAACATTTCAGCCTTGACATTCCCCAGACTTGCAAGCCTTTCTTCTCTCACATCCCTCCATATTATCGTTTTCAAATTGACACATCAGCAGTTGTCAAGCCTAGCTCGCATTGCAAGACTCTCCAGGCTCTTGATCTCCAGTGAAATCTGTCTCCCCAAGAATGACCCACCAGCTGCAATCTTCCCAGTAGCTCAGCTACCTTACCTCAAGTCACTCGAGTTCCAGGTCTCTAGTCCTAATTTCACTTCAATGTTCTCTACAGGATCACCGTGCATTCGCCTAGAACAGCTGGTGATAACCAAATCCAACCTTCAGAGCCTTTCTGATGATATGGGAGAGCTGTTGCCACGCCTCCGTCAGCTGACCATTCGGTATTGCTCTATTCGTGACCAACTCCCCGATAGTATTACAGCCCTAACAGCATTGGAGTGCTTCTCGATTACTGGGTGCTGGCTTAGAAGGCTGCCCGAGGAATTTGGACAGCTGCCTGCGCTCAAGTCACTGATTCTGGAGCACGTGCCTCTCCTCAAGCTACCTGACTCCCTCTGCCAAGCTACATCTTTGAAAAAGCTGCTCCTGCATGACTGCTATTGTATGCACCAGCTTCCAGCAGATTTTTGCAGCCTCACATCTCTCGAGACTCTTCATCTGCATCGATGCACAAATCAGCGGCTCTTCCGTTTCTTTGCACAGCTGATTTCTCTAAAGAGTCTTGAGCTTGGCAAGTGCGCATTTACTGTGCTTCCCAAGGGTCTGGACAACTTGAGTAACCTGCAGCATCTCTACATACACGACTGTGATGCTGTCAGAAAGATACCACTTTCCATCAAAGGGCTCACTAGCCTTGTAACCTTGGTCATTGAGGATTGCCAACAGCTCCTTTTGCTGCCAAGAAGGCTACGTTGCCTCGTGGAGCTGGAGTGTCTGAGGATAACAAAGTGCAGACAACTGTGTGAGTTTCCCCTGTCGCTGCCACTCTCCCTCGAGGTTCTGTTTTGGTACGGAAATAGTCGGGATGATTCCCTGCCGCAGATTTCCCTGCCGCCTTGTTTGAGGCAGTTGGAGCTGGGGTTGGCAGACAACGTCCATGCGTTTCCGATTCTTCCGAGATCTGTTTCTCAGCTCCGCCTCTTGAGTATCTTTGGTGCAGAGTTGATTCAGACTCTCCCACAGAGCATCGGTGCGGCTTTGCAGCAGCTGCGCGATTTGCGATTACACGACTTTAAAGAGCTTAGGGAACTGCCTGAAACGGTCTCACAGCTCCAATACCTGACGTCGTTGAAGGTCCAGGCATGCAAGCTAGCCTTGATTCCCGATGGCATTGGGGCATTATCCAGGCTGCGTGAGCTGGATCTGTCAGGATGTAAGGCCCTCCAGCAGCTACCATCTTCGCTCACACAGCTTGGGTGCCTCCACCTGCTCAGACTTGACAATACTTCCATCAGCTCCCTTCCTCCCAGGTTTGCACAGCTCAGCCGGCTGAGAACACTCAGCTTTTCTGGCTGTGAGCAATTGAAGGCGTTGCCAGATGATTTGACCGATCTGAAGGTGCTGCAGCATCTGGATGTTAAAGGGTGCAAGCAAGTGATTGATGGCATGTCCCGTGCACTGCGCTGTGGGCTCCGTGACATGCATGGGCTGACACTCAAAAAGTTCTAGCCGACACGAACATAGTGTGCATGGTGATCAGAGTGCATTGGGTCAAGCGTCATGTCTCTTGTTGTTTTGGTTTTGTATTATACGCTCTAGAGTCCAACTAGAATACTCTATTTTGTGTGTAATGGATGTGTAAGCCTTGGTAGGTTCGAGTAAGTGGTTACTCCTTGGAAATGCTCTAAACATTCCCCTTTAGCCGAAAACAGCAAGAACGACGGCAGGATGTGCAATACACCTGACTGTACCAACTTGTCATGGTAGCTGTAGCTTGTATGTTTGCTGTACAGTCATCTCAATAAAATGTTTGGCTCAGTTAGCGTTTGTCTTTTCAATGCCACAGTTATCTCTTCACTGAATCCGCCCTCCGGGTTTGCCTTTCTGAACTCAAATTCCCACACCCTGCTGTACCCCTCCTAACCCCTCTCAACCACTCTGGTGCCACTCTCAACCCCTTCGTTTTCAGTCACTCTCGTCAACAGCACCACCTGGGCCTTCTGGATTGGCTTCTTCTGTTCATACCCCACCAATCCCCAAGTTTTAAGACCAAAACCCCAAAACCTGGCTCTTTCCCCTTCCTCCTCCCGCCCCCCGGTTCCTGTGACTTCCGTTTCAGTCACTTTCTTGAACGGTACCTAGAAGAATGACCTTTCCTGGTGTGCTGGTGAGTGGAATAAGTGGGTGTGCAGGTGAGTGGGTGTGGAATGAGAGGGGTGTGCAGGTGAGTGGGGTGAGTGGGGTGTGTGTGTGTGGGTGAGTAGGGTGAGTGGGTAAATGGGGTGTGCGGGTGGGGTGTTTGTGGTGGGTTGAGTGGGAACTGTGGGTGACTGGGATGAGTGGGCTGTTTGGATGAGTGGTTGAGTGGGCTGTGCAGGTGAGTGGGGTGAGGGGAGTGACTGGGCTGTTTGGGTGAGTAGGTTGTGTGGGCTGTTTGGGTGAGTAGGTTGTGTGGGATGTTTGGGTGAGTAGGTTGTGTGGGCTGTTTGGGTGAGTAGGTTGTGTGGGCTGTTTGGGTGAGTAGGTTGTGTGGGCTGTTTGGGTGAGTAGGTTGTGTGGGCTGTTTGGGTGAGTAGGTTGTGTGGGCTGTTTGGGTGAGTAGGTTGTGTGGGCTGTTTGGGTGAGTAGGTTGTGTGGGCTGTTTGGGTGAGTAGGTTGTGTGGGATGTTTGGGTGAGTAGGTTGTGTGGGCTGTTTGGGTGAGTAGGTTGTGTGGGATGTTTGGGTGAGTAGGTTGTGTGGGCTGTTTGGGTGAGTAGGTTGTGTGGGATGTTTGGGTGAGTAGGTTGTGTGGGCTGTTTGGGTGAGTAGGTTGTGTGGGCTGTTTGGGTGAGTAGGTTGTGTGGGCTGTTTGGGTGAGTAGGTTGTGTGGGCTGTTTGGGTGAGTAGGTTGTGTGGGATGTTTGGGTGAGTAGGTTGTGTGGGCTGTTTGGGTGAGTAGGTTGTGTGGGCTGTTTGGGTGAGTAGGTTGTGTGGGCTGTTTGGGTGAGTAGGTTGTGTGGGATGTTTGGGTGAGTAGGTTGTGTGGGCTGTTTGGGTGAGTAGGTTGTGTGGGATGTTTGGGTGAGTAGGTTGTGTGGGCTGTTTGGGTGAGTAGGTTGTGTGGGCTGTTTGGGTGAGTAGGTTGTGTGGGCTGTTTGGGTGAGTAGGTTGTGTGGGCTGTTTGGGTGAGTAGGTTGTGTGGGCTGTTTGGGTGACAGGGTTGAGTGGGCTATGCGATTCGATGCCCAAGGCGTGCCCTTCTCAGGCTGGCGTTTGGAGTTGACGCCACAGCGGGTGTGCTGCTGAGAATGGCGGCACGCCTTGGCCATGGACGATGGAGCGCCACAGCAAATGTGCGGCTGTGGATGGAGAGACCGGAAGATTTGGTGGTTGGAGGAGGGGAGCAGCGGGAGTGAGCGGTTTTGGGAGGGAAGAAGAGAGTTGGGAGGGAACACAAAGGAGCTGGTTGCAGCAGCAGAGTGGCGATTGGAGTTGCTGCAGCCACAGCAGGTA